CAGATTCATCACCTGCAGCCACGATTCTCTCTACTGGGTGGAATGCAAGACATGAGAAGGCCTTTGTATGATGCAAAGTAATACTCTTTAATGCAATAGAATTGGAGTCCACTGTAGGAACTTGCCATATATGAAGCCTGCGTTTGTTTTTTATACCAAAAAATTTTCCTGAAGGACTAGTGATCAACGATTGTGGCCTTTTAGTCTGTCAAAAAGTGACCAAACAGTCATGCATGTAAATAATAACAATGGGTAATTCAAAAAGAAATTACATCTTAACATGACACATAAGTAATTCTAATCACACAAAAGTTGGCTCCCCACTCACTAAAGAAAAACACACCTCTTGTGAAGGTGCCAACATAGATAATAGAATTTGAGTTTTGACACCCGATTAGTAACCCAGTAGAACCCAAGAAAAGGTGTGTTATTTTGTGACCAAATTTGGCGTGTGTCACATCACTACTCTAATAAAGTTGAAGATATAAAAGAGGGTGAAATGACTTAAATTAATTCCAGTACAACAAAATATTATTACAGCTAATCAGAGCTCTAAATATCACTATCACAATCATTACACAATAAATCCTGTAAAACAAGCAAAAAAATTGGTACAATGCTTTAGAAAAACATGTCTTTCCTGCCTATCCATCTCTTTCCACCACACAGAATTTCTTGTTCTTTTTTTTTTTTAATGCATATCACCTGATCGTCATTGTTTTCTTTTCTCTTCGTGGACGGTAAGAACCTATTCTGCATCTGAAATCATTATCTCTATTTATCACTCACTAATCAAGTTAATTCAGAAACATGTTGAACGGTTAAGTTATCAGGAGGGAAAAAAATTCTTTGATTTCATGGAACTACTAAAAAAAAAAAAGAAAAGAAAAAACAAATGCTGGTGGAGCTGTGTTTAACAGAATATCTGGAAAAAAAAAAAAGGGAATACACATCTATCATATTGTAATAATAATATAGCATTTTAGCTTAACATTGCTCTCAACTAAACTTGGAATCATCCATGAATTAAAGCAAGAAGTCTTAGGACTTAAGACAAGGGATTTAATCACATTCAACCCTTTTAACATTTAAGGGTGACTAAACTAATAGCAACATAACAGCAACGGATTATGTTGGATGTGCACTGCTGATATGCGAATCCCACCAGTTTAAATTTGGGAAATAGAAAGAAACCCATAATCTCTATCAGAACAAAAGCATCAAATATTGTATACGTTGCTGAAATAACACAAGGGGAGCCAAACAGTGATACGATGATATTGAGACAGAAAATAGGGTTTGCAGAGTTTAAAGCACCCAACTCACCTACTGTCACACATTAGAAAAAGCGAAGTTCAGGCCAATACAAGTGGATGTCAAACGCCCCCCCCCCCCCAAAAAAAAAAAAACCAACATATCATCCGTCACTATCACAACCTCATGCAAACAAAGAAACGCAAACACTGAACACATGTACTCAGCAACAAAAAATGATAGCAAAGGACATATGGATGCCAACTTTTATAAGGTGGGCTCTCTAGCACCAAAACCAGATCCAAATTCTCCTTCCCTTTCCTTCTCAGTTTTTCTCTTCACAGACCCCTTCAACAAATCTTTAGCTGCTTCTCCTACCTCAACAAAGTTATTCCCATATTTTGCTCCTTCAATTTATGTTCTTTTGAGCATAAACTTTTTGGTCCTTTGTTGGGCCATCAGTTCCACCTCATTCTGCCCTCAGTCATTGTCTTGTGTCTTGCATTGCATGGTTTAGTAACAACAGTGGCTTCAGACCCATCAGAAACAAACAAGTTTCTTTATTTTACTTCACACATAATTCAAGTTTGTCATCAAATATTCGTCAATGATAGTTATGGGTAAAGTAGCTATGCACACAAACTAATTTAGAGTGTGCTAAGAGAGCAGAACATAAACAAGAAGCATCATTTACTACTTTGGGCACTCAGATTTTAGACAATCCTCAACAATATCAATGCATTTAACCACAGTATCAAACATTTCCCACTAAATATGATTCTTTAATAGATGGACTAGACTATATGACCATTCCACGTATGATACAGCCATTTAAAACTTTGCATCATTCAACAATCATCCCTTTTTTTTTGGAAAGGGACAATTACACAAACAGCCCAACCCATTACAATCCTCCCCCGTAGAGGGGGAAACTCATACACACAAAACACCAGCAAAGGGGTATACGCACCTACAGTGAACTTGCAGCCTCCCTCTTTTTGAGGGGTGCGTGATGCCAATGTAGCACTAGCCCACAGGCATTCAACAATTATCTGGTTATACTATTACTAACACCCTTTAAAAGTATAAAAATGTCTATACAAAAGAAAGAAGAAGCAGATTTACTTTCAAACTTGGGAGAATTACAATCAAATTCCATGGAAGGAAAAAAAAATTACAAAACAAGTTCCAGAAGTTGTTATTCTCCGTTGTAGAACTTGTCATTAGGGTGCTCAGGTTATTATTGGAACCTTTTAGTAATTATTTCTCTTCTATGGGACTTGATTGTAATTCTCCCTTCAAACTTTACCTCTTTCAAAATTAGTTTGCTCATCTGGGACTTTGTTAAATTACACTTCCTGATCTGTCCACAAAGAGCTTTGGACCGGTTGTTTGCTGCCTTCTTATCTTCAACAGACACATAAGCAAAAGTATCAAGTGTCTTCGCATTGATCTCTTCTGACTGGCTTAATAAATATGAAGGTATTACCTAATATTCAAAATTTATTCAAAAATAGAGTCAGCATCAGTCTACTTCGATAAAGATGCATGAAAAAGTGAGCATAATAGGGCAATATAATCATTTGGTTTCCAAAACAGTCCCACAAGGGTCGCATTCCTGATCAATTTTCAAGGCACAAGCCCAATTTATTCTCTTCGTATGAAACAAAGCGATGAGCTTCAACAGCACTGTTTTCCTATGATTTCCATTGCATAATCTAAAGTTTCATCTCACAAACTTAATGAGAGCATAACGCTACCATGGAGAAAATGGGTAGCTGAATATCAACTGTCTGCAGTAATTCTGGTGTTGAAAAGTCCCATTTCCGAATGGTTCCATCAAGTGAAGCAGTCCAACAGTTGCATAAAATCTTTTTATCAGGGCTTGAAGCTGGCTCCACTATCACGGACGTGACAAGCGCCGTATGTCCTTCCAATGACGATACCTAAGCATTAAACGAAACAGGAAAAAAAATAGAAATTGAACAACTTTCTTGGAACTTATAGCAAGCACTAATGATGATGGAAGTGCATGGGACCTGTAAACCCGTGGAGGTGCTGAAGACAGAGACGGTATTGCCTGTGCAAACCAGAAGTCGTCTGGCATCATTGGAGAAGGCAGGAGGCGCAGACACATAGCTTTTACCTCCTCTAATCATATTCAATCAGTAAGGAGAAGAAACAATACAAATAAGCAACCAGAATCTACACCGCTGAAGTTGAAGAATGATAGAAGGAGGAGGGAACAAAAAGCCAGGGAGGGAAGCAAGGACAGCAACTTCGCAGTAGGGAGGCGGCACAGCTAAACTTCGAACTGGTGGCGGACTTGGCATAAAAGAGAACGAAGATGGCATACCAGGTGACTTTCCCGGGCCGAACGATGGCCCAGGGTTTTGGGCCTGGGGAGAGATGGGCCCGCTTTCTATAATACGCAGAGTGCTACTTTTTAATATTTATTACATTTTTGACCAGCCACTTAATTATATATTTCATTGATTAATATCCAATTCTGTCAATTTAATTAGAATTGTACCTTGTATGTGTTGCCAAGGCTAATTAAAATTAGATGGAATCAAATTTAAGAAAAAGGAGTCTGATGTATATAATTTATACCTTTTTTATCACACGTCAAATTTTATGGCATATGACATGTTCGCAATAAAATAACGAGGAATTAATCATAAATATTTACACATCGAAAGCTTGTTTATTGATAAAGGTAAAACACATTATTTACCCATAACTTTTAAATTTCATAAAGTTGCAGATCTACGAAAACAGAGTTTGAAAAGTTATTGACAACACGTATGACATTACCAATCCAGTTTGGACGAAGCTTTAGGTTATAACCTAACAGGTACATTTTTTTAAAATATAAAATGTCAATTTTATTCAAGACTACCTCGGTCTTAATATAAAACCTGTTTGACTTTTATTTTGGTTCTAAATATAAATCCCAATTCCACTTTGTCTCTCATATTTATATATATTTTTTCAAAGTAGCCCTTCTAATAATGATAGTTCTAGTCAATATATTTGATTAGCAAGGATATTTTAGGAAAGACAACACCTATTTAGGACAAATAACTAACTCAACTTACTTCTTTAATCTCCTCAAATTAATCAACTGGCTCTTATAATTAGGATCAGAGGTAGTATTAAATAAGATGATTACATGTAAAGAGACTGGTAAGTTAAACTTGATCAACCTGAGCAAAACTCAAATAGATCAGGGAAAAGGCTACCCCAAAATGACAGAAACGAAAAAACAGAACAAACTAATAACAAAATCAATCTAAGAAACTAACATAACAAAAACATAAAAATGAAAAGCAACATCACAGAAACTAAAGTAGTCTTGGTTTTGATTGTAGTTCCCAATTCTTACAAATAATTCGGAGTCAGACCAAAACTGAAGAGACTTGCTAAACTTACCGTTCTGATAAGTTGCATCATACGAAGAAACTTGTAGGAGCATGCACATGTCTATGTGTATTTAAAAATTGATTGTAACACAAATTTTAAATTATTTAAGCAGGGTATAAAATTAACCCCTTTAATACGACGTCGTCTATGTCCCCCCCGCTCTCACATTCCACGCTGCGGCAGCGACGTCCGTTTTCTCTGGGGCTGTGGAGCAAGCTCCTTCCGGTTGTCGTTCCACTTTACTTCGGTTGGGTCAGCGAGGGCGAGTGACATTCTATGATTGTTCCTCCTCTTCTTAGTTCGTAGCAGGTATAGTTTCTTTATCTCGAGGACGAAGTGGCGACTCCGCCATTGACCTGCACGCCGCTGATCTATTTCCTCTCTCCCGCGACTTCGAGTCGTAGTTTTCGAGCACCGGGTGGATGGGTCGTTGGGAATGAGTTAGCCTTTCTATCACTCAGTTGCTCTGCGTGAGTTCTGATTGCAATTTAGTGATGAATCTTGGAGTTGCTGCTTTATCAGTAACAAAACTGGAGAAACCAAGATTGTAAAACTTTCAGAAAGATCTTATTTGTGCATTGTGCTGGTGGAGCTGCAACTCCAAGATTAGAGATTCCAGAAAGAAACTCAGGACCTTTTTTCTTATTTGTGCAATGTGTCTTTTCTCTAGATGTTTTTATCTCCTTATTCTATGCTTTTGTTCTCTCCTCCAATTTGCCTTTTCTTCTACTCTCCCGGAGAGTTGGGGCACTCTTTGATTCTTTCACAGCCTTAATGCGTTTTTCATATGGTTGTTGATTTCGGTATTTCACCTGTGTAACTAAATTAAAGAAAATCCTTTATGGCATGAGTGAAATTGAAAAAGACTGCAAATGTATGAACTGCACAGGGTAGAAGCCTTCTCGTAAAAGGAATCCGCCGCCAGTTTTAACAATATGGAGGATTCCCCTCCGTCGGAACTTGAGTTCAGGGTAGGCCAACGAGTGCATGCATCTGGTGATTCACGGAGAATTGGCACAGTTAAGTATGTGGGACCTGTAGAAGGCCATCCCGGCACATGGGTTGGAGTTGATTGGGACAATGGAGATGGAAAACATGATGGATCCATCAAGGGGATACGATACTTTCGTGCAAAGTCTGAAAGATCAGGGTCATTTGTTCGTCCCCAGAATCTGAGCCTGGGCATTTCATTAGTGGAGGCTCTCGAAATCAGATATAGGGGTGACTCTACTAAAGATGAAGAGGGTATATGGAACCTTTAAATTCATATGTTGTTAAATTTATATAATATTGTTGGGGCCAGATTAATGCTGGGGGAAATATTGAAAATGGTTTCACATTGGTTTTTGACAAAAAATGAAAGGAAACCACCTCTATCGAGTAAGCTAAGGCTGTTTTCTTTTCTTCTGTTGTTGTTTTGTTGGGTTGTTGAATGAAGCTTCTTAACTAATGAAGAGGAGAAATGCTTAATCCCATTTTGTCAATTTTGTTGTAAACCTTGCAAGCGTCTGGGCTTCGTGTTAATTACCTTTTGGGATAAATTCTTAGTTTTGTAGATATTAATTAATAATTAATTGACTTTCTACTGGGCTTTTGGGTTGCCTGATCATGGTTTTTGTTAATTCAATGTCCAGAATTTTACCACTTCATGTGATATTAAGCCACGGGACTAATTTCCATTGTAACAACCATTTACATAATATTTTGAAGCTTTCTTCTCCCCTTTAGAACCTGTTAACTCTTAATCTGTACATACTTTCTTATTATGCTGATTAGACCCAGAACATTAATTGGTGATTTCCATGTACTTTTCCCGCAGATGAAATGTATGTTCTTTCAGCTAGCAGCAGACGAGTCTCTATACAACTAGTGGGAAAAGATAAAGTTCAGGATAAACTAAGTCGATTCGAGGAACTGACCAGGGCATCACTATCATATATGGGTGTTAGTTCCCCTGGAATTCCATGTCATATCAATACTACGGTTCCAAGTAAGCTTGACCTTGATTCTAAAATTTTCACTTTATTTCATTGCACACATTAGAATGAATGAATGTGGAAGTTATCTCCCATCTTGTAGAAGAGAGTGCAGAATCAGCAAATTGCTATATTTGAATTAGGTTTTGCATAATAAATTTTGGAAAAAATAGATTTTGCCAAAAGCTGGACTGGTGTGCTTCTCTAAAACCATGAGTTTGGAGTCTAGGATAAATTTTGGGTTTTAATGGGTGTTTGGTGAATTTGCTCGGAAATCATGGTTTGGATCAAAAAAGTGCTCATGGCATCCAATCTAAACACACACTAATTATACCTGAAACTATGTTAAGAAGTTCTGTTTCTTTTGTTCTATCTCTATATTTATATCCTGCTAGGCATTTTGGATATAGATAAGCAATTCCTTTGGAATTACAAGAGGGTGAAAAGTTAAAAGGAATATGAAGAAGTCCAGTTGAAATCGTCAACCTGCAATCACACACACACACACACAAAAGAAGAATATATGAAGAGAAAATTACGAGTTTGAATGCCTTTTTTATGGAAAAACATTGATATTTTCTTTTTATTACGTTAAATGTTACCTTTTCACGCTTTACATAATTCATAAACTTGGGAATTAACAGTGCCAAGATCTCAATGATCTGCTCTCTAACTGCAAGGGGTAGTTCTAATCCTGACGAGAAGATTTTTTACTCTGAGCTAGCTTATATTGAAGTGTTTTTCTTATCCTTCCCAACTCTTAGCCAGTAGTGCCTTGTCCTTTTGCTTCAGGGGTTCATAGGGGTTGGATACTCCTTTAACCTGCATTTTCTTCCTTGAACCCCTGTTTCTTGAAATCACATATTAAATGAATTCTCCTTTTTTGCTTTTTAGCTGGGTATTTGCAATTGGATCCACCTGTGTTCTCATAATTTTCTTTTACTGCAGATATGAAGGAACTTGATCTGACTGGAAATTTGCTTTCTGAGTGGAAGGTAAATTTTGAAAATTGGTTTTGTGCCCTTTTTTGGCAGAAATTTTGCGGACAAATGTATCCTGTCTAAGCTTGGGCTTGCATGCTTTTCTTTTGCTGAAACATTGTTATCTTTAGGTTCGGATGCTTGTATTTATGCAGTTATCCACCTTATGTTTGATATTCTGATTGCAACTGATAGGAATCAGTTATTTATTTTATTTCTTTTGGGCATATATTTTTTAATTAAAGCATTAATTTGCATGATGTTGTTGCTTAGAGTAGCTGAATGGTATGGCAGTAATGGGTCATTTTAATTACGAATCTTCTTTGTTTCAATTTTTTTTCCTGATCCCTCTGCGTTCTCTGTGCTAAGGCTGTTACTCTCATTCAGTATATGATTTTCAAATTTGCTATCTCCTGGCCCATTGAAATGAAATTATTATGAGAAGAGCCAAAATTATAAAATATTATAAGATTTGCCGCTTTATGTCAGTAATAAGCATCGATGGTTGTTGTAGAACATCTATTGCATGTTATGTTCCTTGATCTGTTTACTTGTTGTGCCTTGCCTAGTTTCATATTGATTGGCGATTAATTAGCATTTCTCACTTGCTGATGATCTTTTGAAAGGATGTTGGTGCAATCTGCGAGCAGTTGCCTCTTCTTGGGACACTCAACTTATCCAACAATTTCATGTCACCATACACATCAGGGCTTCCTTTACTGAAGAACATCCATGTTCTGGTTCTAAATAGTACTGCTGTAGACTGGGTGCAGGTGCTTCTATTTCGTTTCTTGGTTTATGTCTTTTGCATAGGTTTTCTCAAGTTTTTTTTATTAAAGTTCTTATTTATTGTCTTTTTAATTAGGCAGGTTCAACTGCTTGGACAATCATTGCCAACTCTTGAAGAGCTACATCTTATGAGAAATAATATAAGCAGAATACTGGTATATAGTCTTTAATTCGATGGTGCTTGTTATATATCTTACGTAGGTTAGCTATTTACTTTTAGGTGCCTTGTCCCAACCAGCCTATTGGTTGATAACTTGAGAGAGAGCAGCTGATCACACACACACACACACACTGTTGTGACCCAACTTTAATACTCAACAGAACGGAGAACAAACTGACAATAATAAAGCGGATCAGTAATAAATGAGGAAAATCCTGAGGCTTTGATATTAATGTTTTAACACTGAATCAAGTTACAGCAAGTTTCCCTGATTCTAGCTCAAAGCCCTATTTCCCTGATTACAAAATAGACCACGACCAGCAACAAAACATTACACTGGAATTAACATGACAAACTTAAATACATCAGCTTCCCATGGCATTCGAGAGGCCAGATCTCTCCCTCAATATTCTCTCTAAAAACCTTCTCCCCCTCCGTCAGTTTTTTACAAAATAATATAGGCTCCCCAAAAGTAATTCTACCCACCCTACATGGTTTAAGACCCATACGGCTAGTGGCTAGCTGCCACTCAGAGTTGTTCCTCAATTCCTGGAGCTCTGGGGTAACTGATTTGACCAGTGGTTTCAACTTCTTCCCTTGATTTTCTCATTCTCCTCCCATAAGTCTTCCTAATGCCAGCGGTTATATCACACACACACACAAACCTACAACTAGCTCACAACTTGAAGCATAATATCAAAATGTCCACATCCACCACATCACCAAAATATTGCCAAATTGATTGTAGATAAGATTAAAGCCTAAAAGGCTAAAAAAGTAGCTCACGGCATTGTTGATATCTTCTTTGGTATTACTCTGCCATTTGTATCCAATTAAGGAAAGCTAGCCAATATTTCCTATATGGCAAACAGCTATTTATGGGAAATTGGGAATCACAGTGTTAAAACATAACAACCCTATGATGGGTGGTAAAGTGATATGATGGAGACTTTATGGAATGGAAGTTCTCCCGTCTTCCCTTGGATATTTCTATTTTGACATTGAGATGATTACTTATTGGAACTTATTAATTATTTAATTTGATTATATATTGTGAGGGATTGTGTTATTTCTAGGTTGGACCGAAGAATAATATTCCTCTTATACTTTAATTCTCTCTTTCATGTTTTACGTTATGAAGTTCTACCATTTAAAGAAAAATTTGTAAATTACCTTTCTCATCCTCTTCCTCTTTCTGTTCAGCCTACGTCTTCCACTGTGGTTCAGGGATTTGATTCTTTGCGGCTTTTGAATTTGGATAATAATTGTATAGCTGAATGGGAGGAAATCATGAAGCTCTGTCAGCTAAGAAGGTTGGTAAACAAGAAAGTTTATGAGTAATTAGTCCCTTTTCATTTCTTTTGTTCTTTTCCTTCCCTAGAACCATTCTGTTGTCTAGACTAGTTTCAAGTCTGGGTTATTTGCTGATTTCTCTATTGGTGGGATTTGTTTTAGTTTGGAGCAGCTTTATTTGAACAAAAATTGTTTGAACGGCATAAATTATCCTGATCATGCTGGGAAGTATGAATCGGAAGTTACATGCCATAGGCCTTTTGAGAATTTGCGCTGTCTTCTATTAGGTAATATGGTAGTATTTCCTTTTAAATCATCCTGCCTACTGTTAAATGTATATTGACTGCCTATAAGTATTTTGAATTCATCCCTCAGGTGGTAACAACATCAGGGATCTGGCTTCTGTTGATTCATTGAATTTGTTCCCGAAATTGGTGGTAAATTTCATATCAAGAAGTGTTTATTATGCTCCAAAAATATTTATTTTGTAATTGTGGATTTTTTTTTAATGTAAGTACAACAACTAAAGATTTTTTTTTTTAAATATAATTATCTGATATTCAGTACTCTTGCGTCACATTCAAGCATTACTGGGTCTAATTGAGTGTAACTTTCCCGAGGTGTTTTTTTTTTCATTTATGAGGTTCTTGCCCTTTTTTAAGGGAAACTGAGTTCCTTTCACTTGACCCAACCACCATTAGTAATTATGGGTGGTTGTTATTATTGAAATCTGTGAGTGATTGAAAGGGAGAGAAGAGAGCAAGTGGCAGTCCCTCAGTAACCTCTTCTTCCTCTTTCACATCTGTTTCAGACTTTCAGCGTTGTCTCCTTAATTTTTCCTCTTGTTTTTCTTAATTTCTCCTCTCTCCCTCACAATCCTCATAATTCCAGCATTTGTTTCATCTCATTGAGGTCTCTTTGCCATTTCTCTCCATTCTCCACTCAGCAAATCTTCTTTGAAGTTCTTCCACCATGATTCCAATTTTTTCCTCCTCCTGAAATCAGCACCACTCTGATACCAAAAGCCCAGAAAGCAAAGATGGAGGTGACACAGGCTCCTAGCATCCTATGACTTTCCCTTCGGGGAAGGGTCTGCAAGAAAAGCTCACAAATGCTGAGATTGCTGAAAAAAGTGAATTGGGGCTTTGTTTCAA